TGGAGGGCAGGGAGCACTGTGGTGTCTCTTTTGTGAGGGCACTGACCCCATTCGTGAGGGCCCCACCCTCCTGACCTAATCACCACAGGCCCCACCTCCTGACACCATCACATTGGGAGTCAGGGTTCCAACCTGTGAGCTGTGGGGGTGATAACATTCCATCAATGGAAGGAGGAAGGCCATCCAATGTTGTTAATAAAAAAATTTTTGAGAGAAACAAGTTGCCAGACAGAAGCAGCCTGACCTCGTTGCCCTCGCGTTCACAGAGCGCTGACTCGGTGCCTGGTGCAGTCCTGGGCCCGGGGACCTGGCTCTGAGATGAGACGGGAGGGTCCCCCAGGCTGGCTGTTTGAGCAACCATGTGTGGTAAGGGCTCAGGGTTGGAGACAACTTATAGGAAATTAATTCAAATAGATCTGCCTGGGAAAAAGCTGGGGGACAAAAATAGACTGTTAGCAGTTTATGTCTGGATCTTTATTTTCACTTGCTTATCTCCATTTTTTTAATTTTTCAACAGGGAACATGTGTTATTGTTTCCTGTAAAATGGCAACAAAATATACGAAGGGTGGGGAACTCATTTCCTGCATCTGGGCGCCCTGCCCTCCCCGCCGGCCCCGCCCGGTCCCTGGGCCCTTGTGGGCTGGGTAGTGAGGAGGGTCGTGCAGCCCCACAGCCTGGCTGCCTCCCCCAGGCCCTCAGGAAGTCTGCACTGACCCAGGCCCAGAAGACCAGGGCTGCACGGATTCCGGCGTTTTCCTCTGCGGTTTCTCCGTTAGTGCTTTCTGGGGCCACCGCACCCCGAAGCAGAAGCCCAAGGTCACCGCGTGGGACCTGTCACTGTGAGGCTGTGGACGGAGACCCCAGTGGCCGGAAGTGTCCCTGTTACTTCCCAGGGTGCGAGCAGTGATGTCTAAGAGCTGAACCGGGGCAGCCGTGGGCAAGTCACCAGAGCCTGCCTTTTAAATAAACATATTGTTACTGACTTCAGAGAGGAAGGGAGAGGGAGAGGAACATCCATGACGAAAGAGAATCACGGGTCAGCTGCCTCCTGCACGCCCCACTGGGGATCGAGCCCGAAATCCAGGCCTGTGCCCTGACCGGGAATTGAACTGTGACCTCCTGGTTCATAGGTTGACGCTCACCCACTGAGCCCCGCCGGCCGGGCCCCAAACCTCCCTCTCCTCTTCCGTGGGATGGTTGTGAGTCTTAACCCCATGGCAGTCAGCGCAGGGAAGTGCATGGAGAGCCCGAATGCTGGTGCTGTCCTTGGTGCTGAAGTGAGGCTTGGGGGTCCGTCCTCGCGATGGCTCCCCAAGGCCTGGCGGGAGGCGCCTGCAAGGGGGTGGGGGAGACCCTGAGCCTTGCCAGGAGCCACTGCACGTGCCTTTGGGGGGCTGGGTGCCCACCAGAGCAAGCCACTTGCCGGGCTCCCCATCCTTATCCTCACAGCCGCTCAGCATGGCTGAGGGTCCGGTCCATCGTGCAGGCCGGGCAGGTGTCCTGGGGAAGCTGGCTCTGGGAGGGCCTGGATTCCCTACAAGCCCAAAAGGCACCCCTACAGCCCACGTGCTCAGCTGGTGGACTAAGACTCAGAGTCCCCCTCTCCCCGCCTCCATCCTTGGGAAGCTGGGCTGGGAAAGACGCAAGGGGTGCAGGCCGGTGTCCAAGGCGGCCTGAACCTGGGCCAGCTTCCAAGAGGGGTGGACACGGAGGGCAGGTGGGGCAGGAGAAGGGGTACCAGACCGGCCCCACATCCCTCTGAGTGTGGCCTGCCCCTCACCTCAGTAGCCAGAGGCTCAGAAAGTGGGTCTGGTGCCGGGCCGGCCCTCCCGGGGGCACCAGGGCCCAACCCTATTGTCCAACCTTCAGGGACTCCGTCCGCTGCCTCCTGCCCGCAGACTCCGCCTCCGTGGGGACCTCCCGCAGTCCACGGCCACTGGGAGCACCCTTTCCTGTGGGGCAGGCCCTCTGACCCCAGGGTCTTCTGGGATCCGGGGGCCAAGGCTGAGCCCTGAGCAGCATGTGTGCACGGAGCCTGGTCCCTGCTCCCCTCGTCCCTGGCCCCTTTCACCTGAGACCAGTGGTTCCAGCGTGGGGCACATGCCCACAGGGGGGCAATTTGATGTTTAAGGGGGGCAATTGGAGAATGAGTTATTCACAGTGAGTTTTGCATTTCTTATGGTTCTAGGGGTCTCAAATGCAGCATATAGATCTATATTGTGACACATGCATGCATTCAGTTCTCTATTATGTTTTGAAACTTTATTTGCTATTTTTTCCTACCACTTCATATTTTTATTTTTTAAGTAATTTCTTAGTGATTTCTTCCTCAGAACTTCCACTGCCCTTCCGTTCTTTGGTTTTTCTCTGCCATGTGCTTTTGGGTGCTTGTTTAGACCAAGTTCGTGGCCTTTTAGGGTTCCTCCGTGTGACTAGGAGTTCACTTTGTGAATAATGAGAATTCTATGTCACAGGGGCACCGGGATGTTAGAGGCTGACTCGGGGTGTGGCCAGAACACGGCTGGACCCTGACCTGGACCCTCTTCCCTGCGTGGCTGTGAGCAGGTCTGCGCCCACTTTTAGGCAAAAACGGGCAGAGTGTGGGGAGGTGGCTTTGGCCTCTGCCCACGGCCCCTCACCTGCCAGGACCGGTGGTGGGCGGTGAAGATGGGGCAGATGGAGCCCCTCCCATGGACCCGACCTGCTGCCTCGGCCAGCTCTGGGGGAGGGTGTGGAAGGCCCACACATACCTGGTCAGTCTCTGACCCTCAGCCTGGCACCCCCAGGACGGGGAGGGGCAAGTCCCACCAAAGTGGACGCCAGCTCGTCCACCACCAGCCCCAGCGCCTGCTGAAGGTTGAGTGAGGCGGCGCCCAGTGCCTGGGACCCGAGATGGGCGAGAGCTCGGGGGAGGCGCAGGGAGTCGGCGCTAAACCGGCTCCGCGGCGCCCTCGCTTCCTGCCTGGGGGACCCCGGCCCCGG